CAAGTAGAAAAAATAGGAAACATCTTTGGTGGGAAGGTAACAGTGTTCTGTGCACCTTCGGCATTCAGTCATGCTGGCCACATGACCATGGAGACATCTTCGGACAGTTGCTGGCTTTTTGGCTTTGAAATGGAGATGAGCACCCCCCCAAAAGTAAGTAACAACTAGGACATATGTGTGAGGGGAACGTTTAACTTTGCCTATTCTTATACTGAATTCCAAATCTTATTTCAAATTTATCTGAATCCCTAGCCCAAATGTAACTTTCTAACATCAACTCTTTAATCAGTCTTTTGCTATTTTTGTCCCAAAAAAAATGAGTTGCATTTAAATTTTATAAACTTGTATTGAAAATTTCTTTTACTATGGATTGTAGGAAACTAACCTAATGCTGTAAAACGTGTTGATCCAAAAGTTATTCATATCTTAAAAGCAGTTAATAGACTGGAATTTCTGAAGTGGTTAGAAAAGGAAGTGTATGAACATAGTGTCCTCCTTTTAGAGACATCAGTCAGCCCAAGACCCTAGTCAAGGAGTGAGTACAAGATTCAACAACATGAATGGATTTCCTTGAAAAGCTGCCATTTTTGGTTATTTGTCCCAGGCTTAGCAGCTATCATTGTTTTGTTCATCAGCCAAATCCCATAATTTGCAAATGTATTTCTGGAAGCTTGTATGGAGAGATATTATCTTTATTATGTATTGTGACATTCTGGCAATTGAACATTTAGCATTAGGACCTGGGCTATTTGGATTAGAGCCTATGGCAAAATTTAGCTGCATCTGGATTTGATTCTGCTACATTTCATGCTGTACTCACACAACACCCATGCCTGGTTTGCATCACTGCTGACCCAACTTGTATCCTGTTCATATGGATCCTTCCTTCATAGAGGGGAAGAGCAGTGTTCAAAGACACCACTTAAAAATCCCCAGGATGATTGCAAATCCCTAATGGTCCCCTCTGACTTGGGTGACTTAAATGTAAATTCTCTGCTAGATAAGGATAGAACAAACTTTTAAATGGATCTTTTAAAAACATATGAATAGTGTCAATTTGTCTCATAATTGTAGAGCTGTTTCCATAAAGATACCGTCAGCAGTCACTAATTGTACCTCCAAAACTCATTACATTATATGATTGCATTTTTAATTAGAAGTACAGATGGCAGCTCATTTATTACTCTTCTATGAAGGTCTCTGGCTAGGAAGGAAATTCTCCCTCCTCCTTTCTCTTTTAAATAAGAAATATGATTATCAGAGAAGAACTTGGGCTCATGAAAAGAAGACAAGATAGTCGATAACTTACATGTCAAATGCGCTATTAAGTTTGTTTCTCTGATTCCAGAAAAAAGAGCGTAGGACACTTTTACTTTCCTGGCATTTATCATTTATGTCACAACTGTCTGCTGTGGGAGAATGAGTCAGAAATGTAAGTTGCTATTGAAAATAAGATCATTAAAGAAAAAAAGAAANTTTTTTTTTCCTGAACAGTTTGGCAACATCAAAAAAACTAAACAAAATCAATCCCAAACTTACACTTCGAATACTGCAGGAAGAGCAGCCAGGCAAAGGGACCACCTTTTAAAAGTCTGATACTTTTTCATTTAAACGCCTCCCCCCCAGAAATAATAATCTACCTTTCCACATATTTCAAAGCTTCCAATTGAAACAGGAACTTTAGTTGCAATTCTAATCAAGGAATTCTTGTATTTATTTATTTGCTTGCTTTTTCTTTTATATTTCTAGGTAGAATCTTAGTCTCTTTGCTTTTAATATGCCAATTTGTGATATCCCTTTGAAAAATATGATCTCAAGCAACATTCACCCTCCACTCATCACAAAAACCCTACCCACATATGAATCCAGCACTCCCACACCACCATAAATATTGAACAAAGGAAAATTGATACAACTATAAAACAATAAGAAGAAAGCAATCTCTTCTGCCCACTAGAGAGCCAATAAACAACATCTTTCCCAACCTGATGTTCTTCAGTGCTGCTGGACTGCAACTCCCAGAATTTTCAACCACAGGTGACCAGTTAAAGTAAGCTAATATACAACCATGCCATCTCTTGGATTAATGGCTCAAGAAGGATGGTCACCTCAAGAACCCATACGTCTATGAAAAAATAAAACTCACCTAGATCATTGTTGTTCATCATAGCATTGGATGCCCGAAGTCTGGGTCCCTGTTGAGTGAAGTTATAACCAAACCTCAAGAGAGAGGTGTTTTTTTCTAACATGCTGGCGATTTCCATTTCTACCTTGTTGCCCAAAAGCTGGCACTTAAAAAAGAACAGGAAAAAAATAGCATAGAAGCACTTTTGAATTTTAGTTGCTTATCTTGCAGGTTTATGCCTACATGATGTGACAGTGCAGAGGAAAAAGTTCATCAGAAGAGAACAGAATGTTCCCATTCTATAATGCTAGAAAAGGGGAAGATACAATAGGAGGAAGGGTTGCCCGTGACTGGGATGGGAGGAATGATAATCAGGAGTGGGCTGCTATGGGTTGGCCCAGGTTTGGGAGAACCCATAGGTAACATTATGGCCAGTTCAGAGAACCTCCAAATCCCACCCCTTGTTGACCCCACCCGGCCACCCCACCTCACCCTGCGCCACCCTGCCCCTCCCTGGAGTCTCCACTCAGCCCGTTTTAGATGTGAAGTAAGTGAATGGCCACACAGAGGCTTGGGGAGGGGGAAAAACGGGCTTCCTGGAAGTTCCNCAATTGGAAAGAAAGAAAATTGAAATATTCACTATGTAACTATGAGGGATACTGATACTGGTGGAAATGTGGTGTAAAGGATGAAATATATTCAATAAAAATATTTTTTTTAAAAAAAATCTTTCATAACAAAATACAGCAAAGTCCATGTGTTCTGATAACGAAACTAGTTGTAGATTGTAGAACCTTTTGTTGGCTATTCAGAATTTCTAAAACTATATTGGGTGTGGTGTTGCTTTCAACCAGGGTGTATGCACAGAAGTGTATCATCTCAAAGGTGGTATCCACAAGTACCTAGAAGAATTTCCTGATGGATTCTACAAAGGAAAACTTTTTGTTTTTGATGAACGTTATGCCATTTCCTCAAACAGTGACATCATTTCAGGTAAAGTATGCTCTTTCCAGTCTGAGTGGTGCCTTTGCTGTATGCATCTTGTAAGCCAGTAGTTTCCAAAGTACTATAGGAGGACTCTCTCCTGCTTAGCCTCCTTCAATTAGCTGCCCTTTGTATGAAGAGCAAGATGGCTGGGCCTAATGAGAGGCTGTAGTCTAATTCATCTAGTTGGGGGGAAATTATTTGGACGTACCAAGGTTTTTTTCCTTTATACTTAGGACTTTTTAAAAAAAGGAGAGTCTGACTCGCTGCCCATATCCTTTACATACATGTCAACTAACTATGGCTTGGTCAGATACATGTCAACTAACTATGGCTTGGTCAGTCACAATTAAAACCCAGAATGAACATACTGTACCTCATAAGTCGCACACTGCTCTTCCCCCCAAGTGTTTTAAGATGTTGAGTTTGGACCAGAGAAATTCAAGTTCAGATATCTGCCCTTCTTCCATCATTGGAAGATGGAAGACAAGCCATACTATTTTAACTGATTTGCATTTACAAGGTTGTGTTTGTAGGAATATAGTAATCTTCAGTTTAATAGACTGAGTTTAATGGACTTCAGACAATGGACATTTGTTTTACTTGTTCTTGAATACCATTTAAGGTGAATTTGCTAAACTGAGGTTTTATTGCCATTTAAAAAAAATATGTAACTACACAAATGATGTATAATGATACAGATTGCCTATATTCAGATTTAACAGATGTTTGGATTTAATACATGCCCCCTCCTTCTGAATAGTCCATTAAATTAAGGGCTGGCTGTAAAAGGAGGAGCCTTTCATGACGAGCATTAGCATGCAGAATAATTATGGGGCTTAAATGCAGTACATAATATGGAATGTTTGGTTTAGGCTAAATGTGCTGTGTGATCCCAACCACTGTGCTCATAAAGCACAATTTATGACTTAGCTGTCCCAACTAATGCCAATCCATTGTGGCTTACTGAACAAACCAAGGATAGTAATTGGTAGCTGTGTGAACCCAATCATACTCTGCCTAAGATCATCGGAAAAATAGGGCAGCAGTAACCCTAAATAACTGCTTCCCTAACCGATCTAAGCTTGCCTTCCTCCCCTCCAGCTTGCCGTTACTGTGGGACACTCTGGGACCAGTATCGTCTTTGCTCTACCCAGCCCTGCCGTCAACTTGTCCTGACATGCCAGCAATGCCGACAAAAAGGGCTTACAGCCTGTTGTCCTCTCTGCCAGGAGAAAGGTCTTGCACTGGCTTCAGCACCTTCAGGACAAACCTTCAAAGAGGAGTGTGAATGTACGGGGACCCGGCAACGGATACCGATGGAATGCATTTGACAACCCCTGAAGTTATACTCCCTTCGTGATTGCATGAGATGCCGGTTCTGAGATGTGTTTTAATGGGATTTGAGGGACTTACTTATGTGGGGCAGTTGAGCAGCTAGCTCTTCAGTTCTAGCTGCAGTCAAAATTTCAGTGTGTGATTGGATTCCTCTCAGAAGAAATTGAATGGAGGAGAAAGATTTGACCACATTTAGAGTCTTCCACCAAGACAGCTTGAGATTCTAACATGTGATGCTTTAGGACGGCCTAATTTACAAACAGTAAAAAAATAGAAAAAATGGATCTCAACTCAACAAGGAAGGCTATAATGCATTCGCCATTAATTTTAACAAGTTGCATAAATTCTGTGGCAGTTATGAATGCTGCTGACTAGCGGTAACAGAACTAATGGGATATCATCTGTTGACTGTGAGTCGGGCTGTATTGCAGAGTTAGACAAGCTTTTTCATCTTGAGGGTTACACTTTGGGCCATAGGAATTAGGGTTGCTAATACTATATAATTAGAGTAAGAGAAGTTCAACGTTTTGATCCATTTTCAGGAGTGTTAGGGACAGAAGAATCAGGTGCTCTTTTTACTCTTTAATTCCTGTAAAACAAGTCAAGCTTGCCCCAGTTTTAGGGAAGAGATGTTTCAGAGTTTAAAGGGCATGTTGAATATCTAAAATATCTCCTACCTGTAAATAGAAGGAAGCTTTATGTATACCGCCTTAAATTGCAGAGATAATAATAATAATAATAACAACAACAACAATAATAATGATGATGATGATGTCATCCTTTTTGCTTTAAATCCTCCAATCTTTCTTCAGATGAACAATGAGTCCAAAGATTAAAGCTATTCCTGTTCTTGGATGCTCGCCATTTTGAATCATTATAGGTTCTAATGATAGTATGAGCATCAATGGAAATACCCATGTCCCTTTAGCTGCAGAATTCTCATCTCCATTTGGGGAGGGCAGAATATAACACTGTCAAGTGGGAGACACAAAAGCAAATGGTACCCTCTTTTGGCAAGAGAGGCAAAATCATATTTGTATGGCTTCAATTTTCAGCCATTGCCTGCAGAAAGTAAGGAAAGTCACCCTCCGTCGAAGTGCAGAAGACTTGTGCAGTGAGGAGAAGTATCCCCATCAACAGTGTAGGGAGAGTGGCAAATCTTGCCTAGGTACTAAAATTATTCTGCTCTTGCAGAGCAAATGGATTGGAATGAATCCAGAACCTCAAATAAAGCTTTCAAGCATTATATCCAATGCAGCTTTTTGCAAAAGCATGTCAGATCAGGAAGATAGTGATGAGATAGTGAAATAGAAACATAATACAAAAATAAAACATTCACTTCACAAGCATAAAGAGGCCTGGCACACCCTTGTGTGATTTATCAGATTTAATCTATATTTTAACTTCAGTTCTTCAGGAAAATTAGAAATAACCAACATCCCATTCAGCAGCTGCCTTTCTTGTAACTATTGCTTAGGACAGTGTTTCTCAACCTTGACAGCTTTCAGACTGGTGGACTTCAACTCCCAGAATTCCCCAGCCAGCATTCTTAAAATTGCCATGGTTGAGGAAACCCTAGCTTAGGGAAACAGTGGCCTTACATATTTTTGTGCTTGAGGGCTGTGAGCGACTTTAAGTATAATAGATGATTCTAATGCTCAGTTGCAATTTAGGATTCTGGATGTTGCTGGCTAATTGCAATTCTCAAGTCTTTAAAAGTGATTATGTATATCGGGATGATAAAAATGCTGTCCGATTAGCAGAATCTTTCTAATTCTTTCAAGATGAAAATAAAGTATTTTTTTAACATTTCTGTTACATTTACAGAGCAGCATTGCATATTTTTATTGTTCCTATCTACTCATGCATATCAGAGCACCCGCGCGTGCATGCACGCACGCACGCCCACACACAAACACACACACAAATAAATTGATACAAAACCTAGGCTGTGATCTAACTATAACTTAAAGCTGTTCCCGAGCCATGATATCTTTCATTAGAATTCAAAATTGCACCTTATGGTTGACAGGCTAAAACTTTGGATTACTCTTTAAAAATAAAGATGTTATATTCTACAAATCGATAATGAAGACCTTTGCCTATAATAACTAATTTAAAATTTTCATGTGCAAGGGTGTTCGTACAAAAAACAAGCTGCATAAAATCACCGCACAGTTGCTCTGCTTCCGTAAGCCTTCATAAACCAGTGCAAGCTTAAGGACGCATCTCCACAACCAAAACTACACCCCAGTTCGACACTTGGGAAGGATGGGTCCCGTCAGGTCTGCAAGTCGTCTTTTTCTCACTGAGGAAAAAAAACGCAGTTGAGGTCAGGATACATTTCTTATATATAGAAATGGGGCAGTCCATAAATACTCTAAATTCCTGAATTACAAGACCATTGGAGAGAAGGACAAGTAACCCTGGGTGTAAACAATTAGAATACTAAAACCTCAAATCTTTGAACAAACCTCTCCAATTTAATGTTGGATATTTAAAGAGAAAATCAAATGTCTGAAAACACTGTAACCTAGGCTGACTTAATTGGCTGGGCTCCTTTGTAGGCCACTCCTTTTGTCATGGCTAATCAATTTTCTTTGAAAATATATTTTTGTGAAGCACTAAGGACTATTACATCCTTTTCCCCAGGATTGAAACTGGAATTCCTAGAATTCTAAAAAGTCAATTTAACAGTCCAATGCTATAGCTATCAAATCAGAAGTAATCCTTATGTTAACCAAACTAACAAGCAAATATGCACAAGACTACACCCTCTGTCTAGAGCAGGTGCTTTCAAATTTTCAGGATGTAGAACCTGTTCATTAAAAAAAAACAGTCCCTGATTAAAAGAGCTTCTGCATGTCAAGTGACAAGACCTGCCTTATTGATTGTTACTACTTATGCCCCTGAAGAGCATTGAGGTGGGAGCAGATGATCAACTGTATTCAAAGTTTAATTTTTCTCCCTTTATTCCTTGCAGAGTTTTTTTTTACCTTATAAGTTCCACAAAACTCAGTTTAAGTCCTTGCAGAACCCATTTTGAAAAACCCTGGCCTAGTATATGTAACTGTCCATTGCAATTAGAGTAAGAAGAAAACCAGACTTTGCAATGTTTGTTTCACCCCTTCTCTCTCCATCCAAATTTCTGCAGAAATT